GATCTATAATAAATATATATCTTTCTCCCAACACTATGATTTACGTTAAAGTTTTGTTCTTAAATGGTGTAATATTGCTTAATATGGTTCCTTGTCGGCAGTCACTGACAATCAAAGTACAGTCTCAAACATTTAAAACAATAAAAACATTAGAGTAAAAAGTAGGTTGCAGTTTTAATTTTACCATTTTTTTTTATTATGAGACTAATTACCAGTTCTTGATGTGATTTGAACAAAAATAATATAATGCCATACTACAGACAGAAAAAAAATACAGGTTTTATATTTACATTCATGGTGCATTAATATTTAACTGCAAAGAAATGTAAACAAATAAAATAAATATGAGCTTTCAAAAAATTCATAGTTCATAAACTTCAAAACAAAGAGCTCATGAAAAATATTCCAACATATTGTACTTTAGATAAATAAAATAAAATAAATTATTAGAAATATTTACCACTTCAACATTTAATTTATTAAACAATACCTATGGAGGAGGAGACTTAGGGCAGAAAACAAGCCTTCAGGCGAGGGCTCTGGCCACGCCCACAAGCTGTTTTAGCGCGAAACGTCGACTGAACCATTCTGAAAATAGGGGAGGACACAACAAAGCATCTATTGTTAAACAGTCACAGAGACCGCGGTACTTTCGTCTACAAGTTATAAACGATGGATTTTTGTTGGATATTGTAAATGAAATGACGAAGTTACGGATTTGAAACGTAAAGATAGTTTTACGCAAAGGTCATCTGACGTTGTTTCCCTCGCGTTTGCGACGCACGAGTCTGTGCAGAAGTTGATTTTTTTTAAATGCACCTCATTGATTTCTAGCTCAAACTTTGCTGCTCCCCAAACTTACACCTAAACAGACCAAATGGACCTCACGTCAAAGGTAAGTACCTAACCAGTCCGTTCAAATCAGGATTTTGTTTCTCTATCGAAAGTTATGTTTATTTTTTGAAACAAAGACGCCGCAGTTCAACCCCAAATAGTGAATAGTGTGTGTGGGGCTTTTACATCCCAGGAGTCTTGTGTGTAAAAGTTGCTGCTTTTTTAACACTCATTTACTCAGTAAACTCAGTAATAGACTGGTTAATATTCATCTAACTACACGTATCAGTGCAGCAGCTCAAAGT